ATAAATAACATTTTCCTCTCCGTAATAATTTTATGAACAAAACAAGAATTTGAAAGAAACCATGAAGCCCAAAGCACCAAAAAACATTCATGTGAAATAAWCAGGAACCCAAGCATGTTTCCTAAATTCTTTTTAAATTCTTTAACTTTGAACCAATTTTATTGAACTAATTGGAACCAGATGAGTTTTAGGGGCTCCTTGATGCCATCTAGTGTTAAAGATTCATACAAGTTATTTTGCAGAATAAAACACAAGCCAGTGCGTTTACAAGAAAAAACTTTAATAAGTGCTAATCAAAACATTTACAGTATTAATTTTATTTTTGGGATATATGAAAAACACGAAAAACCAAAGATCATCAAAGTCAGCAATAAAAAAGTAACAGTTTTCTTTTAGCTTTAAATAAATGCTAGAAACACAGAACATTAAAACCTGTTATATTTAAAATGTTTTATTTTATTAACCTTTATGAAACAAGGCAAATCCTGCTGAGATTACAGACCGGCTTTATAAAAGGGAAGCCTGAAGGCAGCCTTGCATTGTGGTTTTTTTTTTTCTGTGGGAGAAAAACTGAAGAAAAACCCACCCAAACATGAGAACAAACAAACCCCACACAGAAACCCCCAGGTCCAAACCGGGGATCAAACCCAGGACCTTCTGCAAATAAATCAACATGAGTAATTACAAAAACATTCAAGCTAAAGATCTTTTCTCTGCTGAGGAGGGAGCATTGTAAAAGTATACACACCACCATCATYCACCGCAGCAGTAAAGCAAATATAAAGTTGGAGCTGAAATARTAACAGATCTATTTACACAGATCACTTCCTGTCAGATGATCTGTGACTCCATGACAAATCTACCTGACTGGAATGTCACTAAACCAAAACTACAGTAAAGTTACATGTTTTTAACATGAGTCAAAAAGCATTTTATACTTTGTGTTACTAAGAAACAAGATTATATCAAGTATGTCACCTTTTTACATCCATTACTGCAATAGAATAATAATAAAAAATATATTTAAGGATCTCATTATTTTTTCACTGTCAATTTACAATGTAAAATATTTGTTGATCTGAGGCACAAAGTGTAAAATGAAATGTTAAAAATTTTCCACTAACAATTTATTAGTATTTGGTTCACTTTTCTTACATTTAGCTAATGTTTAATAAATTTAAATGTTAAAATATCTTTAAATATTGAATCCTGAATTTAAATGTTTAAATCTAAATGTAAAAGTATTTAATTAAATGTTGAAGTTCACATTTAGTATTTTGGAATGGAATGCAGCCTTTGCTGTTGGTGCTCGGCTCATGTTATGATGTCATCATCCTGAGACAATAGCAAKAGCTAGCTCCAACGCAGCTAAAGCTTCTCTACAAGACAACTTGCAGTTCTGGCTGGTGTCTGAGCTGCACTTCAAACTGCTGGYCCARMGGGACCACCTAGATTGTTTTTATGAACACATTTTGAATTAAAATTTTAAATAACATCTTCAGCAGCGTTAGCAGAAGTTAGCATCAGATAACCAGGATGACATCATCATTCTGATTATCTGATGCTGAGATATTCGTGATTTTCCTTGTCTGTAGCTCAGACACCAGCCATAACTGCAAGTTTGATGTCTTGTAAGGAAGCTTTAGCTGCATTGGAGCTAGCGGTTGCTATTGTTTCAGGATGATGACATCATAACATGAGCCGAGCACCAACAGCAAAGGCTGTGTTCCATTCCAAAACACCTAAATGTGAACTTCAACATTTAAGAATTAACCTTTACATTTAGGTTTAAACATTTAAATTCAGGATTTAATATTTAAAAATATTATTTGACATTTAGAAAAAAACAGCTAAATCTAATAAGAGTGAGGTAAATATTACAATTTTAGTGGAAAATCTTTAACACTCAAAAAGTAACCTAAATAATGAAAATATTTTCATTTCACTTTACACGTTGCGCCCCACAGATCTTCTATGGTCTGTATTATATCAGACTTGAATATAAGAATAAAATTTTACTTTGGCGTTTCYAGTTTTTTTTACTTCCTCCAGCATTTGTATCATCCTCCTCCCACTTCGATGTATGATTTGGCAAACTTTCTAATCAAAACTAACATTTTTTTCATAAGGAAGTGTTTTCCTTTAGCTTCAACAGGGTTCTAGTTGTTTTGAGCTAATTAATGGATCAATGAGTCAACAGTAAGAACCCGTCTAGAGGAAGTTGAACCTTTTCTTGATCAACAGTAAAAAGTGGCATCAATTAAGGGTAAAATCAAAAGGATTTAGGCAATAACGTACATTACGTGGGTGGTCTCAGTCTGAGTCCCTCCTTGATGACTCATCTATGGTCACGGCCTGTCGCTGCGAGGGTCTCTGCGATCATCATCATTGCGGCGGTCTTCATCGTAGCGCTCACGGCGGTCACCATATTTGTTCCGGCGGTCATCGTAGTCGCTGCGGCGGTCGTTGTAATCGCTGCGGCGGTCGTCGTAGTCGCTGCGGCGGTCGTCGTAGTCGCTGCGGCGGTCATCGTAATCCTTGCGGCGGTCAGTGTAGTCACTACGGCGGTCATCGTAATCACTGCGGCGGTCATCGTAGTCCTTACGGCGGTCGTAATCGCTGCGGCGGTCGTCGTAGTCACTGCGTCTGTCATCGTAATCGCTACGACGATCATCGTAGTCACTGCGGCGGTCATTGTAGTCCTTGGGGCGTTCTGTGCCACGCTCAGTTTTCTGCTCATCAACTCGAATAGCGCTCTCCTGCCCATCGGCACGACGACTGTCACCATTAACCGGCTCTTTGTCGTGATATTGGTCTTCATGAACTCTGAAAAGCAGATAAATTACAAACCAGAAATGTGATTGCATTAAAGACAGACATTCAGCGAGARGTGCCCAGAACACCTCACCAGGGAGGCGTCCAGGAGGCATCCTAACCAGATTAACTACCTCAACTGGCTCCTCTGGACGTGGAGGAGCAGTGGCTCTACTCTGAGTCCCTCCTGGATGACTGAGCTTCTCACCCTATCTCTAAGGGAGAGCCCAGACACCCTGCAGAGGAAACTCATTTCGGCCGCTTGTATCCGCAATCTCGTTCTTTCGGCCACTACCCAAAGCTCGTGACCATAGATGAGGGTAGGAACATAGACTGGCTGGTAAACTGAGAGCTTCTCCTTCTGGCTCAGCTCTCGCTTCACCATGACAGACCGGTACAGCGCCCGCATCACTGCAGACACAGCACCAATCCACCTGTCGATCTCCCGCTCCATTCTTCCCTCATTCATGAACAAGACCCTGAGATACTTAAACTCCTCCACTTGGGGCAGGACCTCCTCCCCAACCCGAAGGCAGAACCCTACACTTTTGGAGGATTGGAGGCACTGATCCTCATCCCAGCTGCTTCACACTCAGCTGTGAACCACTCCAGTGAGAGCTGGAGATCACGATCTGATGAAGCCAATAGGACTCTATCATCTGCAAAAAGCAGAGATGTGACCCTAAGGTCATCAAAAAGGATCCCCTCAACACCTTGGCTGCGCCTAGAAATTCTGTCTATACGAACAGAATCGATGGCAAAGGGCAACCTTGGTGGAGTCCAACTCTCACCGAAAATGAGTCCGACTTACTACCGGCAATGCGGACCAAGCTCTGACACAGGTCGTACAGGAACCTAACAGCCCGTATCAATGGGCCTGGTACCCCATACTCCCGGAGTACCCCCAACACGAGTCCCCGAGGGACATGGTCGAATGCCTTCTCCAAGTCTACAAAACATATGCAGACTGGGCGAACTCCCATGCACCCTCCAAGACCCTGCTGAGGGTGTAGAGCTGGTCCAGTGTTCCACGAGCAGGACCAAAACCACACTGCTCTTCCTGAATCTGAGGTTCGACTATCCAATGGACCCTGCTCTCCAGGACCCCTAAATAGACCTTACCAGAAAGGCTTAGAAGTGTGATCCCCCTATAGTTGGAACACACTCTGCAGCCCCCCTTTTTAAATAGGGGGACCACCACACCCCGGCCTGCCAAGCCAGGGGAACTGCCTCCTATGTCCATGCACTATTTTAGAGTCACGTACAATAACCCCACAACATTCAGAGCCTTAAGGAACTCCGGGCAAATCTCATCCACTCCGGTGCCCTGCCACCGAGGAGCTTTTTAACCACCTCAGTGACCTCGGCACCAGAGTTTGAAGAGTCCAACCCAGGGTCCTCAGGCTCTGCTTCCTCATGGGAAGACGGGTCAGTAGGATTGAGGAGATCTTCAAAGTATTCCGCCCACCGACCCACAACGTCCCGAGTTGCGGTCAGCAGCGCACCATCCCCACCATAAACAGTGTTGGTGGCGAACCGCTTTCCCCCCCTGACACACCGGATGGTGGACCAGAATCACCTCGAAGCCATACGGAAGTCTTTTTCTATGGCCTCTTTGAACTCCTCCCATGCCCAAGTTTTTGCCTCAGTGACCACCCGAGCCGCAATCCGCTTGGACTGCCAATGCCTAACGGCTGCTTCCGGAGACCCACAAGCCAAGAAGACCTGATAGGATTCCTTCAGCCTGACAGCATCCCTCACCCCCGGTGTCCACCAGCGGGTTCGAGGGTTGCCGTCACGACAGGCACCGACAACCTTACGGCCACAGCTCAGGTAAGCCACCTCGACAATGGAGGTACGGAACATGGCCCACTCGGGACTCAATGTCCCCCACCTCCCCCGGAACGTGTTCGAAATTCCCCCAGAGGTGTACGCTGAAGCTCCGTCTGACGGGAGAGACTCTGCCAGACGTTCCCAGCAGACCCTCACTATACCTTTGGGCCTGCCAGGTCTGACCGGCATCCTCCCCCACCAACAGAGCCAACTCACCACCAGGTAGTGGTCAGTTGAGAGGGGCCGCATTGCCGCCCCTCTCTTCACCCGAGTGTCCAAAACATGCAGTCGCAGATCAGATGAAACGACAACAAAGTCGATCATTGAACTGTGGCCTAGGGTGTCCTGGTGCCAAGAGCACATATGGACACCCTTATGTTTGAACATGGTGTTCATTATGGACAATCCATGACGAGCACAGAAGTCCAATAACAAAACACTGCTCGGTTTCAGGTCGGGGGTGCCGTTCCTCCCAATCAGGCCTTTCCAGGTCTCACTGTGATCATTGAAGACCCCAGCAGAACGAGTATGTGTAAAAAATAGAAATATTTATATAGTTAGTTAGTTGTTTTTCATTATCAAGTGTTGTTTATTAGGATGAGAGCTTGTTAAACTTTTTATGCCAAAATTAGAAATTGTGCTGTTAAATATCAAACACAAAGTAATACACAAGATTTTTTTAAATCCCTGCATTTGGATGTGATGACAGATGTGTAAAAACTGTATTTGTGTGGAATTATATATACTGTGGAGAGAATAGGAAATTTTGACCAACTGTAGTTAAACAAACTGACTTGAGGTTAGTCTGTTTATAAAATAGGCCAAATTAGATTCAAACTCGGCTCACATCACTGGTTATTGTATTCTTGTTTATGGGTGTGAGTTGGTGTATTTTTGGGACGTTTTGATTGGAAATAATAAAAAAAATTACGGTACCCCATTGCGTATTCTTCCTCTGCTCCCTTCTTCTTTTTGCAGCAACAGCAATAGATGATTATAACAAGTACGATCAAAGCAGCAACCACTCCCCCGATAATCGCTCCAGTGGAAGCCATGTTCATGGATGCTGCAGGATTGAAGAAAGAAAACATGAAATATGAGAAGAGCTGACATGTAAAAAGATGTTAGATATGTGATGGATATAGTACAGTTATACATATGTGGAATGGCATGAGGGATATAAGATAAATGATCAGATGTGAGATAAAATATTTAAGAGGGAAGATTGAGATAAGATGTAATAAGACTAGTGGTGTCCCGATACCAGGTTTCCTCAAGTCGAGTACAAGCACTTCAGTTTGGGTACTTGCCAATAATGAGTACTGAGTGCTCACTGAATTAGGACATAAACATTACACCGTGACTTTAAAAACATTTCTTTTGTTCAGAAGGTGTCTCTCGTTCCTCAAAGATCTGCCCCTCTGATTGGATCAAATCAAATATAGAGCAGGACACCATTGAAACATTTTAAAATTAAAAAAGCACATAAGATTTTCTTTAAACTTATATAAGGTTGTTAAACATGGAACTGAAACTTTTGAAATGTAAACAAATGTATTCAATAGAGTACCAATGCTGGTATTGGTTTTGAGTATTGGGACATTTTGCACGAATATTTGTAACTCAACAAAAATAGTGGATTCACTTAAACATTATGTCAGCTGTTTCCACTCAACTGAGCTGAGTAAAGGTAACATATTTACTTTACAAATGTAAACTAAGTAAATGTGTTACCGTTACTCAATTCAGTTGAGTGGAACCAGCTGAAATTTTAAATAAACCCACTAAATCCATTTTTTGAGTGTGGTATCTGGTCTGATACTAGCATTGTATATTGGCATCGATAGGATATACATGATGTTGAACTAAAGGGAGACATGATTAGACATGAGATAACGTGTGGTTAGACATAAAAGATTTATAAAGAAATAAAGGTATAAGAAAAAAGACATGAGATATGAGATGTGATGAGACATTAGGTAAAATAGGATATGGGATGAAACATGAGTTAAGATACAAGACAGGAAATAAGATGTGATATGAGCTCTGATGAACTACAATAGTTCCTGGAGGCACTATGTAGGGGCTCGCCACGTGCTGTCCAATTTAAGTAAAGGTCTGAATTTACTGTTAGAGATCATTGTGATCTGCTACCATCTCAAGTTTGAGCCAAATATGTAAAAAATGGGCTTAGTTCTAGTCAATTTTCCATTTTAGCCATGGTGGCCATCTTGGATTTTTAGTTAGCATTCAGAATTTGTTAAAGAACAGCACGGCAGCACGACGGCTCAGTGGTTAATACCGACGCCTCACAGCAAGAAGGTCCTGGGTACGATCCCCGGTTCGGACCTGGGGACTTTACGTCTGGAGTTTGCATGTTCTCCTTGTGTTGCGTGGGTTTTCTCTGGGTACTCCAGTTTCCCCCACACCCCAAAAACCTGTGCCTTCAGGCCCAGGCTTCCCTTGAAAAAGAGACCTGTAATCTCAATGGGACTTGTCTGGTTAAACAACGGATAAATACTGTATATGTTCTTGGCTACTACCATACTAGTCTTAAGAGATTTTTTTTGCATTAGCAGTTAGCTTAAGCTTCTAATTAGCATTCAGAATGTGTTGAGATAGCGCTCAGCTACCACTCTACCAAATTTCAGCTTTGTATGTCTTGAAACTGTTAAGCAATCTGGATGCCATGTTGAAATGCGATTCAATTCAATTCAATTTATTTATATAGCACCAAGTCGCAACAGTCYTCTCAGGGCACTGTACACAAAAACAGTAAATCTAAAGAAGCAAACAGATTGTGTTGAATTCACTTCTTCACACAAAGAAATAAACAAATTCTCTCTCTGTTCTGTCACCCATGAGGCAACTCTGCCCGGTAACAGCCTCAGCCAATCAGAAGGCCRGATTGTGGTGTTGACATGAGAAAAGCTCTGAAAAGTTTAGTTCAAACAACCAGGCGCTGCATGAAAACTATGAGGTCTATTTAAATAATTCTTGAACCATGAGTGACATAAGAAATTGATTCTTACTCATGGAATTTTTCAAATTTGTACAAGGCTTTATCTCAGAGATATGATGAGTTTAAATTGGTTGTTGTTGTTAAAATTTACATAGAAAAAGATAAGGGAAGTGGTGCTTCCCTGACTTCTGACATTTTGAGAGAAAAAATATTTGTTCTACAGCAAAACAGGAATATTGGCTGAAAGAAGACAACATGCCACTAAAGACACTGAGCTCAGTGTATTCCTATGACGGATTTAGATTGTAGTTTTTTGTGATTTACGTCACCATGATAACTCGAAAACGCCACAAAGACGGTCGTTTTGAAGGAACATTCAGGCCGCAATAATGTTAAACTATAAAAAGATAGATAAAGATATAAATACAAAGCTCCTATTTTGAGGTGGATACTAGGTGCCACCATTCAAGTGATTCATGCGATATGGCAAGCCCTGATAATATAGGAGATCAGGTGAGATTTAGGAGTCACAGTATGAAGAGACAGGAGATATAAAATGTGATGTGATAAAACTTAAGAGAAGATATGTGTATGAYTATGAGCTGAGATCTAAAATGAAACATGAGTTAAGATGAAAAAACAATGAGACCAGGATGTACAATGTAATATTCTGTAGTAGATTGAAACAATGTGCAAAGAAGCTGGTAGAAGGGCTAACTTACGTGGCAGGACTGAGAGGGTGTAGTTGCAGGTAGCAGAACGAATCTTGTTTGCAGATGTGCAGATGTAGAATCCTGATGTGTCTTTGGTGATGTTAAATAGAGACAGGATTCCTGCCTCTGAAAAGACAGYCGTCACTCAGACACAGCGTAATTCTTTTTAGGATTTATTATTTATGTACAATGATGGGCGGTGCTAATTCAAAATTCAGTTGCACAATTTCTAAAGCGCTAGTCAATTCATTTAGGTCAACAAGTTCAAATACACATATGCTCATAAAAACTTTGCAGGAGCTAAACATAAAGCGCAAATCTGCCTCCATTCAAATGAAAAGATTCCAGTAAACCCATGAAACATATCAGCAGCACAACACTGCCAACTAGTGGAGTGATCATTTCCATTCACAGATTAACACATGTCGCAGTTTGTGGAGGTGATTTGTTGAAACAGACTTTTGAATCATGGTGTTAAGAAAAATAGTTGTGGATTGCTAGCTCTGCAGCTTCTTGGTCATTTTTTTGTGTTTATGGTAGGGGTTTGGTAAGAAAACATTTAGATATATTAGTAATTTTAAACTGTTTATTGTAAAACTGAAGCATTCTGGGTAGCCTACAGGACAAGCAGGAAGCTGTTCATTTCAAATAAGAGAGTGAATTCAAACTGTTTCGTGTGAGCTTCAATACGATGTGGGACAGCGGGTTGGTGAAGATGCAGTGGGACATAAATTATAACTCCCCCCCCCCCATCCTCCAAAAGCTAATAAGTACATAAACAACAATATTGATGGCTGGATATTAGGGGTGTAAGAAAATATCGATACACTGAAATATCGTGATATTTCATTTCCCGATACTGTATCGATATTCTAAAGCACTGTATCGATTTTTTTATTAAGGTTTAAAATGTCAACTTTCCTGCCAGCCG